AAAAACTTCAAAAGAAGCTGACTTCAAGATGTGGCCCACACGGTAGCTCCCTCTACAGTCAAAATGCAGCAACACAACTCTGACACAGGAATGCGTGGAATGCACAAACACAAGTGGGCTTATTGGTACAAGGACAGTAGTTAGGACAACAATCCTTGAAATCCTAACAAAACAAACAGGATGATCACACCTTTGGCAATTACTGTAGAGTACTATCATGGTACTTAAATACTTCCCACTCTTTCAGAAGCACAGTGACAGATGGAGACAAGCACTTTGGGTTTTCAAGCAGCTTGAAAATTGAGAAAATATTAACTCAATGACTCAAAAAAAAAAAAAAAACCACACTGCTGTCACAATGACAACCCCAAAACACAAACATGTAGAATGATTCATCATGATGAAAGAGCTCTGCGGATCGAAACATAAAAACACGTGAGCCTGTCAGTTTCTCAATAGCATCACTTTTAGAGCGGACCTGAGGAGGAAGTGCAGTTTATTTTTACTGCTTGGCCACAGTGCCAGGCAGGGATGAGTAGATCGAGCTTCCTTAATCTTCTCCACCACGGCCCAGTTATCTGAGCCATACATACAGCTATGCTCTGCCCTATTGTGGCACTTCACTGAATTTAAGTAATATGAGATTACTTCTTAGAATGTGGCCACAAATGTTCTAAAACTTAAACACAAGATATACTGAAAGTACAGAAAACACATTCTTGTTTGAAGGAAGGTAAACAGCATTTACCATCAACGTGATAGACAAAAAAAAAGTTTACTCACAACTATATTCAGACTGCACAGCCATCCCAGCTATGTTTTCACAGATGAATAACAATTCAGTCTAGAACAAAAGATCCTCGGGGCTAAATGAATTGGATGGTGATACCAAGACGTCTACAGGGTGAAACGATCAGTGGTGAAAATGGACACAAGGCCACACTGCAGTGAGTGAAACCAGCAGCTCGACTCACCTACAGGTGTGTCTTCTGGGTATGAGCCAATCAGATAGCTGTACTGATAAATGGAGCTATGCGTCACAAGGACAGTCCCTATATGGGCATCCTCATATTATCAGATGGCATTTCTGTTAAACTACAGAAGCTTCTCTTTGTGTTTGTTGTAAACCTTTTCCACACAAATTCATCTTGTCAAACAAATAAAATATTTAATCGTAACATAAAATTTGGTTTTCTTACCATGATTTTCCATCACTGTGCAAACTCAGCAGTCAGCACCTCCTGAAACAAATAAGGATTAAGCATTTAATATTCATTTTAATCAAGTATAACAGATTTATTTGTTATAAGATGTTCCAGTTACTTCTTTCACAAACATTAAAAATATGTTAGACTTTATAACTTTTATTTCTTGTTTAAAAAGTTTTAAGAGATTCAGAAAAAAA